TTGGCAGAGTAAATATACATTTTTGCAAGCAACATAACAATTGCAAGTATTTCATCATATTACAGTAGATATTTTTGGATATTTTTCCTCTCCCTTTCACATCACGGCTCAGAATAGAATCTGTGCACATTCCGGTAGTTCTCTCAATGTTGTCATGTTGTTGTTTTCCTGCTGCTCCAGAATTAGTCACACAACATGTAGGTGTATATATACAGTATATTAGGGCTGTCAAAAATAACGTGTTAACTGTGATGATGATGATGATGATGATGATCATCATTATATTATTGTTATTTATTTATTTATTTCAGTTTAACACGTTAAAAACATTTAATACAATTAACACAGCATTTTCCCCCTGGAATCCTTTGGCAAGCTTTACAGTAGATTAATATTGAATGGCTATAATTAATGGCTAAAATTGAGGGGAAAATATACTTAATAGAGACATCAGTAGCAGTATTGGTATCAAAGATCATTCATTATTAATAGGCTACTTAGTAAAAAAAGATGGCTTTAAACACATACTTAAAATATACCATCTTTATACGTTAATTTGGATATTCAATGTGAAATTATGACAATATAAATATATTAATATGCGATTAACCACAATTAATTACAGAAACATTTGTGATTAATTAGTTATTAGTTGTGTGTGTGTGTGTACACACACAATATATATATATATATATATATATATATATAAACAGACTATAGATTTTGTACAAAGCCACATAAACAAGTCACGAAAGATTTATATTATTTTCACTGTGCATTATGTACAGTATTCTATTGAGCACATTACGCTGCTGAACCCAGATTTCTTTGTCTTAAAGGGGTCATATGATGCGATTTCAATTTTTCCTTTCTCTTTTTTTTTAACCTTAAATCGCATAAACACATTTCATTACACCAAATACACAAAATAATGTTCTTTTTAGCAACATCATATGACCCCTTTAAGTGGCTGAAAAATATTTGCTGTCTTCTGTTTCCCCATTTGTGTGCGTGTGTGTGTGTGTGTGTTTTCTCATGATCTATTATATGCTATCATTGTTTGTCTTGTTCCATCACTAACCACTGGGGGTTTTCTTTCAGTCCTCTATTTTCAGTGAGCTTGATGCATAGCGTCTAAAGGAAGGTCACTAGGGCACTATGATGCCGAGGTATAATAATTCACCTCACAAGCACATCAGCTGCATTTGGAATCATTTCCCTAGAATACTGGATCTGATCTAGTTAAGAAAATTATCATATACAAAAATAAAAACATAAACAGTTAATATCGTACAGTGTTTAAGATATGAGAATCTTTCAAGGCAGCTTCGCTAGGTTTTATCGGAAATCATTCTTATCAAGATGAGCAGTGAAGAGACATGGAACAGCACTGGGGGGACAGCTCACAGAGACAACACCCTTATCACTGATGACCTTGACTGAATACAAGTACCTAACTGGTTTGTTTTAGTGTCCTAAACAACTGATCTTAATTATTTCATCATAATATAAAAGCAAAAAAAAGATATTTTATTTTATTCTGTGGAAGATTTTATAAGTCCATACAATGGAAGTCAACAGGGTCCAAAGTTATTTTGGAACTTGATTTTGATAATGACTTGATTTTCCGTATTTTACATTAGTTGGACAAACAACTAGTTCCACTACAAACTCACTTCAGTGATGTTACATTACATTTTCAAAGCGAAATGTCCAGTGAGTAGCATTAAAAGCATGTTAATTTTTCAGATGAACATGAGTTTTATTATGTTGTTTGTTGTCTGTGAAATGTCCAATGAGTTGTGCTATGGTTAATGCTCTACCTCGTACCACCTACACTAAACCTAACCGATAGTGTTAACAAAACCAAACATGAGATAATAAACATATTTGCTAAAGCAGCCACACCATTTTAGCATGCTTCTATAAGTCTTTACTTTATCACAGCTTGTGATTTACGGGACTTGTACCTGAGTGCTCTGTATCTCAGTAACAATGCTGTACCAGGTGAGCTACTGAGCAAGTTTACTGTCAGAAAAGTATTAGTCATAAAATGTATTAGTTTACAGTAACACTTTATTTTAAGGACCAGTTCTCATTATTAACTAGCATGCATATTACTAGCATGTTGGCTGTTTATTAGTACTTATAAAGCACATATTATTACCTTATTCTGCATGACCACATTTTAGATCCCTTAATCCAACCCCATACCTAAACTTAACAACTAACTTACTAACTATTAATAAGCAGCAAATTAGGAGTTTACTGAGGCAAAAGTCTTTAATAGTGCGAACTGAACCTTAAAATAAAGTGTGACCTAGTTTCCAAATCATGCACTATGGTAAAAGTGTCTTGAGATCATAACATACAGTAGATTGTAAGTCTTTATTAATCAATTATATAAAAGTTGTTGTTTTACAGACATCAGTGTTCATTTCAGCTGGAAACTGCAGTGAATTGTATAGGTACATTTTTGGAGTTTTGCCAAATGTAGGTCAATGCATGTTTTTTTTGTTTTTGTTTAACAGGCTATTCGATCTCTGCGTGGACAACACAAACTTGTCAAAATCTACAAATGGCTGTCCAAACCTTAGAGTGACAAACCATTAATGAATACTGAGTAGGCTGATATAGTAGGCTTCAAAACTAAGGCATTATGAGGAGATAACATTTTCCACGTGACCTGCATGTCACCACACTCCACTCAGATAAGAGCTCACACCCAAACAACATCACTCAAAGATCAAAAACATGAGTTAGGACGAGACCCCGGAGGAGCAAGAGATAAAGCCCACAATATGCCACCATGCAGAACATAGTTCTGGTCCAAAGCCCATTTTAAAGGAGCGGTTGACTGATCCTTCAACACCTCAAGTGTGACTTCACATCTATGCTGAACAAGATAAAAAAAATTGAAAATTGTTTTTTTTTGCTGAAAAGATCCAAGCTTCAGGCACTCAAACATCTAACTGGCCGTCCACCAGCAGCATGCTGGACTGGATGGGATGGTTTCTGCCCCAGGTGCCTGAGCTGTTGCTGTGGACTGGGCTGTTACCACAGGGACATGTGGCTGCTAAGGAGATACACACACACAAACATTGAGAGACGTCACAGCAAGACAACATCTCTCTAGGGTACATATGCTCCAAAAAAGTGCCATGGATGCTCTTAGATCCTCCCGAGCAGTTGCGAGCTGGGAACTCATTATTTGTGTTAAAGTGATTCTAGTCAGAATAAAACGGCCATGTTTGCCACTTTTATATTTCAAAGGAGGATTTGAACTGCTAGTACAATAAAATGAAGAGCACATTAGTTGTGTAATTAATGCATTACTCATAATTTGTCATTTGACATATGAGTGTCTACAGTAAAGAAAAAAAAATCTGCCTAAGAAAAAAAGTTCTTAGTAATGTGATCTCTGTATTCATGTTGACTTCATACGGCTTTTATACTCAAGAACAGTTTAAATTTAATGACCCATCTGAGTGCATTTTTATTATAAAAAAATGTTATAAATACATTGCATTTTTATGTATTTTCAAATAAATTGATAGATTTATTTAACACAATTTTCACTTATTAACATAAAAATCATTCATCATGATCATTCTGACATGTCAAGGCAGCATCTCTTTGATTTAAGACACATTTTAGATTTGATGATCGGCTGTGATACACACCATTTAAGAGAAGTAAAACATGACTAAACCTCATAATCCATATAAAAAATAAAAAAACAGCTTATTGGATCTCAATGATTTTTGAGAAATATTTCATGCTCCTTCCTCACAGTCACTCCTGTCCTCATTTTTCACTTTTCTGGTTTTGTGTCTGCAGTGCTTAAGGCTCCAGCGGCCTCATGTCCCCCAGGTGCCTCACAGAAAACCCTTGTCGCAACCATACACCTGTCCTCTTATACACACACACACAGTCTCTTTACTTCACCAGACGACAGTATGTGTGTGTGACAACAGTGCCCTCTACAGAAATGCACTCACACACACTTTTTGCACCAGGAGAACAGAGAGAATCCAGGGCTTTTAGATGCCATACAATCCTTGAAAACCATGATGGATGATTTAAATTATTTATAGGGAGGTTGCTAGACTTTTTTTACTGCAGTGAATATTTCTCAAAGTAGACACATACCTTAAAGTCTTAGTTGGGAGGGAGGGATGGAAAAAGGTTAGTTAGTTAGTTAGTGAAATATAGCCCCTGTGACAACTAGCCCCAATCTGCCATACATAAAAAAAAGAAGAATTTTAGAAAACAATGAATTGCTATTTACATGTTTCAAATGTTATAATAATAATAATAATAATAATTATTATTATTATTATTATTATTAGTAGTAGTAGTAGTATTTCTATTATTATTATTATTATTATTATTTGTACTTTGTTATATTGTGCTATTATATATTCCTAATAATTAATATTTATAATGTTTATAATGTATATTATGCATATATAATATTATGTAATGTAATATAATTTAAAAAAATAAAATAAATAAAAATCCCAATC